TATCTGGTTTTTTTCCTTCTTTAGGAGTTTTTTTACTTGATTTTTTCGACGACATGCTGAAAATTCATCCAAAAACCACAAAAAATAAAATTAAAGTCAATAAAAGTCACTTTAAAGTCAATATATTGCTGTTTTACATGCATACAAATGACAAACAAGCATTAACAAAGAAAAAAGTAGGTGGCCCACTCATGGAGACAAAAAGTGGCCCACTCATGGAAATAGTCGCCATTTTGAATGACTCACCAAAAAAAATTTAAAACTCAATATTATTGCGAATTACTTTTGGGTGTTGATTTTCAATGTCTGTACTACACAAAAAAATATTACTCACCTTAAAATTGTCGATTTTTCGAATTTTTCTGACGATAGGAAAAATACACAATGTTATAATTTCGATTTTTTTTTGCACTTTTTTTTTTGCTAATGCTCAACACAACACAAAACGCGTGCGATCACTTCGACGTTTCATATATTATGGTTTTGGGATACGCTGAAGCTGTTTCAGCTATTGGTTTGACTTTTCGAATGTCACATGACAGAAATTTGACAGGTGGCCCACTCATGGAGACGGCCCACTCATAGAGACATTACCCTACGTGTTTCAAAGTTTTTGGCGAAGATTCGCCGCCGTAGCGGAAGAAATTTCAACGTCGACTGAAAGTGTCAAATTAAATTTTAATCGCAATCGGGGAAAACTAAGCGCATTGCCTTCACTATGCAGTGAAGGACACTTGCAACAGTTCCAAGGAGCACATCCCGATTGAAATGTCAATGGGAAAATGTTTTGGCATATTTTATGCAATTTACATCACCGACGGTCACGACTCATCGGGTTTTGCACCATCCCGAACGGAAAGATAACGCTAAAGTTTTCGCTGTTCTCGGCAAGTTTAATTGAAATCGAACACTTTAAAATCTGTGAATAGATAATGACAATATGTACGAAGGATTTTCAGGGTGGCCGAAAGCATGAGCTAACTCTCTTGGCACCTATGCACTTGCACACATACAATTTAGATTTGCACAAGTTTGGTTGGCGCTCAATGAAAATGAAATTGTTAAAAGATCGAAGTGAAAATGGGCGAATAGTTGTTGGCATGCATTTAAGTGTTTTGTGTGTGTGTTTCCATTTGAATAATATAAATAGGGCCCGGTGCACCAGTGAACCCGCATACATGTAAAGTCGGAGGCAACTTAATGCCATTGTGCATTAAAGTCATTTGCGATCTGAATGATATTCTTATATGTGTTGCTGCATTTCTCGCCACGGTCTAGCAAATTGAAAACTTTTCGCATTCATTTTGCATGCAGACGACGACTGGTAATCTGCCCGTTCGTCTCGATGCCCCACTTCCTGCTATTGCTAAGTCAAAAGTTTCGGCCGACAACACGCAAAAGCAAAATAAAAAGAAAAAAATTGCATAAACAAATAAACTCACTTTGGATGGAACATCATGGCAATTAACTTAATGAATGTTGGGAATATTCTCTCGTATGTTTTCGGGATAAACTTTTTGAGAAATTCCAGCATTTGCTTCTCCAGCATCGTTTGACGCAAATCGAATTGACTCATAGCACAGGCCCGTAGCCAGACGAATTTTTTCAGCCACCCCAAAAATCATTGTCATCTCAAAAATCAAAATGCGGAATAAAATCATCGTAATGAATTCATTTAGAGAGCCGAAAGTGAAATGCTTGAATATGAATAATCGTGAAGCAAATATAATTCATGGAAATTCAATTGAAATAAGAATGAGTTGCATTACGTTCTTCAATAGTATTAGTCAACACACAAAAAAACAGCCGAACGATACACTTCCAAACGAATTGCCGAACGACTTCTGAATTTTGTTTTAATCCATCTTCTATAATGACTTGATATTGAGACCTATAAAATCATTCTCGATATGCTTTTGTTTATAACGAATATTTATCGTCTGCGACATTTATTGTTTACATATATTGCACGCCATTCAAAAGCCAAAATTCATTCTCATGCTCTTATTCTTGAAAAGAGTGTTAGATTTATTGGAGCCAGCCAAAAAATTGCATCAGTCGCGAGAAATGAGCTACGTCAGAGCAATGCCACTGATTGATTTGGTCATCGAGGACATAAAAAAGATACAAAATAAAAAAAGTTTCAACGAATTTGAAACTAAAGCAACCGCCAGGATAATATTCAGGATATTAAATATCAAAAATTTCGGCTCGCTTCGCTCGCGACACGAATAATAATTTCTTTATGCTATGAGCAACATTACATAGAATTGTATCGTCTGAGAAGCCAATCGCTTAATTTGGACATTTTAGCTAACTAAAAATGATTATCTTGAACGAAATAGACGGCTATAATCGCCCAAAAGTTATTCTTCAGTCAATATGTTCGAGAGAAAACGACTGACTGCGAATTGACTATTTTCCATACAAGATTTAAAAAAATCAACTATATGTGAATTGAATAATTTTCAATCGATTTGAGCAGTCAGTCAATATGTTTTCACATGGGATGTTAAACTCTTTTGAAGACTTCGACTGGAAATCCAAGTTGAAAAATGCGTTCCCTATACTCTAAGTTGTTTGTTTATAGATCTCAAAAATCATCACTTTGTATATCTTCTAAAAAGCACCACCTCAAAAATTGGTCATGCCACCCCATACAATCAATCCTGGCTACGGGCCTGGTCATAGCACCAATTTAATTTGCGTCCGCATTCCTTGTGCATTCGCCATAACTCTCCGGCTCTCTCTCTCTCTCTCTCTCTCAATACGAAAATAGTTAATTTATTGTTGCCATTTCAATTCAAACCGTGTCTGACAGTTGAATTGTAACTCAATTTAAATATATTTCATCCTTTTTCCTTGTGTTCATTATGATTTTGGAATACGAATTGGGACGCTTTCGACTCAAGACGAGTTCAAGTTGCATAAAGTCACTTGAGGCGGGTCGAGTTATGCACTCGGATTGATGGTGAGTGTGTACAATTGCCATAAAACGTGAAAATGGGTGAATGATTGCCGCCGAGTTGAACCGCACTCAAGCCATTGGCTTTCGTTACACATTTTCTGCTCGAGAAGATTTTACTTTCATCTCAAGGCCACTTTCGAGTCAAGTCTCTTGCACCACTCTCTATCTCTTCATTTGATGTGAAAATGAACTTTTCGGTCGGTGTATTTGAATTTACAAACACGTTTCACAACTCCTGCTTTTTCCTGCTTTTTTTCGTCAACCGACAACGACAATGAACCGACTCTTGTGTGTGCTGCTTGCGTTTTCATTCAGCAGCCTTTTCATCTTGTTAAGTTTAGAACTAACACTCCACGCTTTCTGAATAACTCTAATTCTTTTCCGTGTTTTTTTTTCTGTTGTTGTTGTTGCTCTAGTTGTATTTTTCTTTCTCTTCATTCTTGCATGTTTGCTTATTTGTGTCGTGTGAAATGTGTGTTATGTTTGTTTTGTCAATACACCGTACATACACACATGATGTCAATTATGATCATCTAGTAAGCGAACGTGCGTTTTGCTAGTCGCATTGAATCGTATATCAAACGTGGTGTAGACATGATGAAGTACTAATTCGCAATGGAAAATCTCGTATTCCATTTCGAAAATCACATTTTCCCATTGATAGTGGAACGGATTGCGTTGGCTGTGTGTGTGTGTGCACACGGACGTTCAAATTCGATGTTCGATGAAATTGCAGCGTGTCAATAAATTTTATTACCACCGATCGAATCGAAGCGCTCGGGAAATGGTTACGAAATAATAATAACAGCATGTGATTGTGAATCTAGTTGTGAATGGAATTCTCCGAACGTGAAATGAAATCGAAAAATGGTAACCAAAACGAGTTTAAAAAAAATCTATCGTGTAAAATTCTCCATATATAGATGTCATGAAGACACGTTCTCACCCGGATACTTTTCGTATTTTATTTACAATGTGTTGATAATTATAGGACGACAAAAAACGAGCGTGTTGTACGAGTGTTGCCGTTAGTCAGTCACACCGAAGTGACTATTTCTCTTCTATTTGTTACTTTATTTGTTGTTGTTTTCATTCGGATTTCGTTTTTGTTGCCAACCCTTTTGCCAAACCAAACTGCATCGTCACAATGATTAACTCAACGTCAAATGAATTAACGTCAAGCCAACGAAACAAACAGTGCTGTAAAACTAACAGTACGACCAACAAAATGTAAGTCCCAACAAAACACAGCATACAACACAAATGCGATTAAGCCGAGCCGGCGACATACGAATCTATTATTATTTTCCATTTGTGTGCAAATGTGTGCAAAAATAGAAGTGACATGGTTTTCTAGTTGCTGCCAACAAATGAATGGAATCAAGTGAATTGAAGTGAGTGCTGTGGGGGAGCATTTCATTGGCTCAACAAATAAATCGTTGAAAGTGTGTGGTGGCGGCGGCGGTGGATGGTGGATGGCAACAAAGATTTTGACTTGATGACATTTTTAATTTACTGTGTGTTTCTTATCTTGAAAGCGCAATATTCCTTCGAGCATAGTCGACACACAATGCACAAAAGATTATCTTGTTGGTTTCGGATTTTCTTTTCTGCAGTGTCATCAATCTTTTGAGACGAATCGGGCGTAATTGAATGAAATTATAATTGGTGTTGATATTGATAGAACGAATGTTGCAATCATTTCTACAGCGATGGCTGGTGAAATGAAAGAAGATTTTCGTAGAATGCGACACGAAAGAATGAATGAACGGCTGAAAAGCAAAGATAAATAGTTTAAAATTTTCCGATAAATCTTCGTCGGTGCTGAGGCGGCACACATATATACGCCGTCGATTCGAAATGGAATTTATTAGAAAGGCGAAAAGGAAAGGAAAGAAAGAGATAGTGCTCAGAGTGTGGCAACGGATCGTATTCAAGATGTCTACAATAGATATATTCTGTTCCATAAAATTAGCTGTCTAATTCAATTTATTAGTGTACAATTAACACGCAATTTTTCTTATATTTACAGAGCCAATCACTGAAATCCACGGCGGACCGGATCTATTCATTAATAAGGGTTCAACGATAAATTTGACCTGTGTCGTTAAATTTGCTCCCGAGCCACCACCGCAAATGGTTTGGTCACACAACTCAGAGGTAAATGCACTTTTCCTCTCGATTTATTTATTCAATGGACAAACTGAGTCCTTTTTTTTCTTTGTTCGTTAGTTCACTTTGGTTCGTTTTTTTTTTTCAGCAAAAATTTTCCTCAATTTAGTTACTACCCTTTTCTATCTTCAATGAGTTTATCTTTTGTTAGTTTCAGTGAAAAGCTTTTTTTGCTGCTGCTGCTTGTTGTTGTTGTTATTTGTTTGTATTGAAGACCGCGCACCAACTGTGAACGACATTTGTGTCAAGAACTTTGAACGCATTTAAAGCTAAATTTGATTCCGATGTAAATATGCAGGCCGTCGTCCCAGTTGAGCGTCGATAATTTCATTGATTGACCGAGTGCTGGCCTTTGTTGTATCAATAAGAATGAAAAGTGATGTTTGGATGGCTGGTTGGAAAGCCGTTCTCTAAAACTGTTATCAAGCCCCTTCAATAACATCAAATGTTTGGAGTGCATTTGGCCGAAACTGAACTCAACTCGGTTGGGCGACCAAGTAACAGCATGATTGGGGAATGAAGAGAAAAAAAAACTTGGCACAGCAACAACAACTACAGCCCAATCGATATGATGGGGAGGGGGAATAAAAGCCCTGAAAATGTCTAATATACACTGCAACATTTTTGAGTGAAAAGACTAATATTGAGTTGTGGCAATATAGAGGTTTCAAATATTTTAAGATGAATTTACACCGAAATTTGGGTAAAATGAGTTATTTCCTATGCGTATGTCCAAACGGCTACTGTTCATATACGCGCTAATACGTAGGCACGCACTGGTGCCGAGTCTGTGAATTTGTATGTATTGTATAAGTTGTTGAGTGCAAAATTTATAATACATGTAAATACACAGACTCGGCGTGCCTACGTAATAGCCTAGGGGAATATCACGCAAAAAATTCTATTGAATTTCTATTGATTTTTGCATTTTCTAAAAATTAATTTCAATTATATTACATTATGCGAGATATCTGAGATTTTTTTCATTTTGGTCGATTTTCCCAGATATTTTAATGCTGGAAGTGGTTTTTGGCGGATCCTCAGGATCGTTCAGAACTGCTCCCGATTCTGGAAGTGGGTTTTGGTGGATCTTCAGGATGGACCAGACTGGGTTTGACAATGCCTTGGCCCATCCTGAGGATCCACTTCCAGAACCGGGAGCAGTACTAAACGATCCTGAGGATCCACCAAAACCCACTTCCAGCATTTTTGAAGCGGTAATGACGTCAGCACATGGTGAATATGAGTGAATAATACAGATTTTGCGAAATATTTGAAATAGCTTAGATTTCATTAGATTTTAATGAAATAAATGAGATAGAAATAAGTTTTGCGAATAAAAATTGCGTGATATTCCCCTAGGTAATAGCGCGTATATGAACAGTAGCCGTTTGGACATACGCATAGGAAATAACTCATTTTACCCAAATTTCGGTGTAAATTCATCTTAAAATAGTTGTAACCTTTATATTGCCACAACTCAATATTAGTCTTTTCACTCAAAAATGTTGCAGTGTATGTTCGTTACATGTTTGGAGTGCTGTTGAATAAGTTCTTTTCGATGTAAGCCATTGTTTGCCTTCGGAGTGTTCGTCTCCGAAAACATACGTACACACAATTCCAATTCCCAAAAGGAACATAACATTAAAAAAGCTGACCAGTTTACACAACCGCATTATAATATGAAACAAACTGAGGCGATTCTCTCTTGTCGTTGCAATTTTTCGTAGTCTCCTTTGGCTTGTTCGTTTTTGTCGAGCATGTATTAATGACAACGCATGCTATTCCTTAACCATACATTTATTTCGCATGCTTGCTCGTTGTTGTTGTCATTTTTGTCGTCGTCGTCGTCATCCTCTGTATGCGGTCAATTCCTTTCCATTGTAAATGTGCTGGTCGCTGGGGCCATTCAAATTCAAATTGCAAAGAAAATGCCAAAGATATCGGTAAACAGTACTAAACAAATAGAAACGGACCGAAGAATAAGGGCGAAATGAGCAAATCATGTAAAAGCATTGCTTCGACCATTAAACATCAATAACATCATACAAATGACGTATCGCTTCTGTCGCTTTTTTTTGTCCAAGCAAACACAATAAAAATAACTAATGATTTATTTAATCGGCGACCCGTCTACCCAACATCCAGACACACAATGTTATATATTTATTTATAGTTTTTCGTTGAATTTCGCCTCACCGCAGATTTTCGTCGATTGTTGAGCTTCAAAATGGATGTTATGTGCGGTTTTTCGCTTGAATATTTACTGATTACTGTTTATTTTCTGGTTCTGTAGGTTATAAATTTTGATTCACCGCGCGGCGGAATTTCATTGGTAACGGAAAAGGGTCGTCTCACCACCAGCCGTCTGCTCGTGCAAAAGGCCATCCAAAGCGATTCAGGCATGTTTGAACAAAAAACTAAAATTTACATAAACAGCGCCATTTATTCATTACATTTATTTTATTAATTTATAATTAGGCATGTACACTTGTGCACCATCTAATGCCAATCCAATTTCAGTTCGCGTTCACATACTCAACGGTAAGTTTATTGCAGCTTTCAATTACAATGTGTATCGATCAAATGTTACATTTTGTTGGGGTACCGCCCGCACCTTGTCCGCCATCAAAGTCAATCAAATGGCACACACATTTTGTAAATCGAAATCACATTCGATTTTAGCTTGATAAAAATAAAATTCCGAAAACATGTCGCCTGTCTTGAAAATTGTAATCGTCAATTTCATTGGAGATAATTCGATTGAACAACTTTTCGTGGCGCTAAATTCTATCCATCTAGAAATTCGAATCATTCATATCGTTATCGCATCGCATATGTGTGCGTGTCGTGTATGTGCCGATTCGGATTCATGTCTCAATGAGTGCTTCCAAGTTGGATTTCAATAAAAGCTTGTTTTTTTTGCTGGTCGTATTGATTTTCCATCAGTCAATGCATTGTATAGGACCTAATCCAACTGGAAGTTGTCTAGACTCGCAGCATGAGAGTGCATTTGCGAGAAATCCAAACAAATTATACATCCATAAATGTTCACCTGATTTCAATGTTTCTTTATTGGCTGTAAATTTTCATTTTGATTGGATGTCTACGCTCGTTTTAGGGCGCTCATCTATTAACTTAATGAGATCTCGTCATTCATATTGACAAATTTGGATTACTTAGAAAAATAAAACGAATTACATACGTTATCCAAACTTTTCCGCTCCGCAGCAATTAAGTTTACCTCTTGCTTAATGTTTAACAAAAATTCAATGAAAACTTTTTTCATAGCTCTTTTGACCTTAAAAAATAACTATTTTGACCATTTTCCATATGAAAGTGTCACTTTCGAACAGAATTCCAAAAATTTCAAGAAATGTCGATTTTTGGACCAAATTTATGGGCAAGTAGGTATTCGGTTGTTCGAAGGCTCCCATTATTTTTTCAAAAAAACATAAGTTTGCCTCGACCAAAAGCCTGTTGTTTTTTGAAAGGACATTATATTTCTTTTCATTTGTCCGCGTATTGTGCACAAAATGCTTTTTTCGGGTACTTCCATACAAAAGTGTCATTTTTCAAGGTTTTTCCGGTCTCCAGTCGGAGGCTTATGGTACGAAATTGGTAAATCAGAATGGGCTCAAAACGCGGACAACGCCATACGCACATCGCAATTTTGCACATTTTTCATAGTAAACAAAGTATTTTTGGGGGCAGATAGGTTTTGATCGATAGGTTTGATTTGTTCTCATCTACATTGCCTAGTGTACAGATATGTGCTTTTTGAAGTTTGGCGCGACGTTATAGTGGTCCGAAAGAGGAGATGTCATGAAATTTTGGCTAGTAAAACCAATACTTTTCCTTAACAAACAAAGTTTGCGAAAAAGTAAAATGTAGCCAATTTAGTTAAAGAGATTTTCTATTAAGCCAACACTCACCCAGACGCTATGCGTTGGCTACAACAAATTATTATCATTATCATCCAAATTAATTGGATATTTGCAAATTGAACGGTTAAACAAACCATGTGCCATGCTTTTATTGTGTGTCACGTTCTGTTGACACCCACACACACACACACATAACGCTCAGTTGAGTGCAATTGAAAACCACAACAGAATGTAACATTTATCAAATGAAAACTCAGTGAAGCGGTTAATCTACTAGTGATGGACGCTTTTGTTTCAATAGAACATCCCGCTGCAATGCATCATGGCATATCGTCAATACAACACCAACCACCAAATCTACTGCTATTGGTCAGTGCAGCAACGTTGCTGGTGCCGTACATCTATCAGAAAATACGACGAAAATTCGATGGTGCAATTGGAATTAGGTGCTAGGTTTGAACGGTGACTCATCCTCAACCATGCCGCCGTGTAATAATAATAATAATAAACAAGAAATTAATCAAATTAATATTGCCATTAACAACAAAAAAAAAGAAAGAAAGATAGACAGTAACGTAATTAGTACATTAAAAATTATTATTAAAGAAAATGAAATCTACATATAGATTAAAGTTTAACGACTACGACGATGATGGCGAGAGGCGGTGGTGATGGTGGAGAAAGCTGTTTTTTCTAATATACATATATATTTTTTCCGTTATTTCTTCATTCATCCAGACCGTTCGTTGATTATTCGCCGAATCGCCGGTTCGGTTCTCTTCGGGTAATATTTAGGAAATTTTGTGGTGTTTTTGATTGATCTCTGTCTGCATGTGTTTCAATGTATAAAAAACAAACATTATTATAAACCAACAAAAAATTGTCAAACCAAAAAGTTAAAATAAACAGAGAAATTGCACATGAAAATACCAAACGAGTTCACGTGTCATATCGAGGTATGCTTCATCGAGCACCTGACACGCACACACACAACGCTATTTTCAACCGAAATCAACCACGAAATATAGGTTATATATTTAGGTATAGAGAATGCGAGACAAACTAACAACCAAAAAAATATTAAATACCAAATTACATTATAATAAAATACTAATTATTTGCTAATTAAATTGAATTTAGTATATTAATAATTAATACGAAAACTAAATGAAAAAAAAACCCAAAACCAAAAAAAACTATTGTAATTAAAACAAAAAAAAACAAATATTTCTAACAAAAACAATAAAAATTATACATTGAGTAGATCTACTCAAATAAGAGCAACAATTCATGGAGCTACTACTACAATGAAAATCAAATCGGTCGAAGGGACGACAGCTCAAATAAAACCATGTTTATTAAAACATTAAAACTTTAAATGACATTTATTTCGACGTTTCGTAGACAGAGTCAATGGGCTGTGTGTATTCATTGAACACAGAACACCAGTGCGTTGCAAATGAAGCGTAAAATTGGGAAAAAAGTTTTTCGTGTGCGCGATATACCTATAGTGAAAGGTTGAACTAATACCAAAAGAGTTGAAACGCCAAAGACCTTTTGCGTCATCAAGTTTTGTGCTTGAATGACAAAACTTGAGTAGCATTATCAAAAATTCATCAAATTGCAATCAATTCAATAAGTTTTTCCACTTTTTCACGTTTAGCTGATTCGCACACATTCATATATGAATGAAAACTGCTTGCTTTCGGTTACGCCTGTAACCAGCTCATTATGACTTTTCCGAGATTGAAAGTTTTCAAACTCAACTGCCAATCAATGCATCCCACCAAGATTTCATCAACAATTGTGCAGGAAAAAGTGGTTTGTATTTTAATGCAAGAAGTTTTAGCCTTCGATCAAAAAAATTCTTTGAATAAAACTTGTCAATCATCGGCAGAAAACCAGTTTGGGATTCAATATTTTAATCGTCTTAAACTTCTGCTTAGATTATGAAACCATTAAATGTGAAGAAAAAAAAACCTGGAAATTCAATTCACATTTCGGATGAAATTGAAACTAATTAAAGCTTGAACGAATCTACGCATTGTGGATTTGATGGCTTGAAGAAACTTAACCATATTTTTTGGTCCTTTCACTCATCTTACTGTACCGTAATCTGCTGCAGTGAATCGGAGTGATTGAAAATGGGAAAACGATGCGGAAAAAGTTCAATATAAAGTAGGCGAGGGCTGTAGCTTTTCTTGCTTCCTTTCGAAGAAAAACCACAAATTAATCATCAAAGTGCATGGCGAAATACGTTAGGAAATGTGAAACGAATCCACTGTGCCATGGAAACTATGTGGATTCTCACTTAACAAACACATCAAATCAACAATATGCACAAAAGTATCCTTACATACAATGTATACATTCGACAGTCAAGGTGAAGTGAATCCAAACGAGAGAACGACGACAGACAAACAATTTATTTAATCCAAATGCAAACTGCTTGGATGCACTCCGCACATCAAAATATTTACTAAAGTGGTTCAACTCAATTCCGAAATGTGTTTGTGTACTCTTTTGCTGTGTGCATTGAGCACAGGGATTTGGTCGAATAATGACTTTTCGTCGAAAATGACAAATAAATTACATATTCTCTTCGAATGTTTTACATCGGGCAAAAATGCCAACGTTCTATTTATTTTGCAGTGTACGAGTCACTGAATTTCAAACTATTTCTTCCATCTCTCACACACATTTTTGGGGAAAAGTTCTATTTGGTATGCATTATGCTCTCAACAATTGTAAGAACGTTGTTAGTTTTTGGTGTGGTAAAATCCTTTCTGCCATATCATGATACGCTTGAACTTTGAAATTCTGCTTGCTTGGAATATGGAAACCGAGATGATGACTCTGACGCACGCATGCTGCCCATTGGTAACAAACCCCAGTGGGAACAATGCAATTTTTGCCGGCTGATGCAACTAAGTTGCTCTGTTTTGACAGAGAGTGCCTTTCATTTCAACTAATTTGTCTGGCGTCTTCAAAAAGCGAGGCTCTTAAAAACTTAATGATTGACGAACATCAACACAGGCATCTTTTTATCATCACAGGCATTTCAGAGTGGAAACTGTTCGAAAAAGTTATTTTGTACAGCAACAGAAAATAAAAATGTTGGCGTTAAAACCAGACATTCCGTGTGACTGCATATCGAACTGAGCTATTTACAAATAGCTGGCTGTTTGGTACATTTTGATTTTGTGACTATCGAGCCATGCAAATTCATGTGAGATGATAAATTTGGGACACCTTTTTCCATCCTTTCCATGAATTTTTGTCATAAATTTATCATCTCACATGAATTTACATGGTTCGATAGTCACAAAACCAAAATGTATCAAACAGCCAGCTATTTGTGAATAGCTCAGCTCAATATGCAGCCATACGGAATGTCTGGTTAAAACATCCCCGAAAAAACCAACATCGCAGAAAAACCCACTCTTTGTGTCATTAATTGAATTTCGTAGCATTTTCGGTGAAAGAACATTGTATAGAACATTTAAGAAAACATGAATTGTGACTGCTTTTGGCATGCAAAGAAAATTGCTGAACAGCCACAAATGCCGAAGCGTGACGCTTGCGTCAACGTGAATCTGAAAATTGCGGCAAAAACCACAGCAACAACAACAACAATAGCGTTGGCGACAATGTTGCAGAATTGCAGCAATTGTGGAGAAGAGAGGGATAGAGAGCAAAAAAAAACGTAAGCAGTTAAACTTCGAAGCAAAAGTTCTCTCGAAGCGCAAATAATTACATTAGCTGCAGCAGCACCAGCACAAATTTGTTACTGATTGAAATGAGTTGCTAAATAATGGAAAAATATGCAAAATTTTGTTGAAATAACTGTCGGCGGTCGACGAGTTGGTTCATTTCTCTCGCTAACTCTCGCTTTCTCTCGCTCTATATGTGAGTGTTGTTATTCCACTTTATTCTTGATCGAGTTGGAAGTCGACGTCAGTCTATATTTTGGTGCGCAATGGAAACCACCACCATTCCACACCTGCAAAACTTGTCGAAAATGCAAGTGAATTTCATCGTCGCCACTTATAAAATCATATTTCGGGGTAATCGTTCTGAGGGGAGAACCAGAAGAGTTTTTTTTTCGTTACTAGTTTAACGCAACAAATTGACCCAGAGCTGTAGAGTGAAGATGGCTTCATTCAGATATTCAACGTGCAATGCGGTTCAGTTTGTAGAAATTGATGGAATACTTGAATTACATTATTGATGATGACGACGACTAGCACACCAAATTGAATGTGGCGGCCGATGATTGTTGAGCAAGTGAATGCTTCTTGTTCATCCGTTTTGCACACACTAGCTGCTTCCTCCGCAAACCATTCTACCGCAACGTGAACATTTCGAATGAATATTCATCGATGTGTATTTGCATTGCAAAAGGAAAACGAGCGAACGTTCGACCGATTTCTTGGAAATCGAAAATAATCCTCCTATCACATTGATACACCATCATCCGGGCTTTTTATTGGCAAGCAATGTGTCAACAATTTTCCAACAGTGAAATACCATGAAAATCGAACAGGAAATAATTACCATCAACATAAAGTGGCCATCCCGCCACCATTCACACGAAGCATTTGCACAAATTCAACCATGAATATAACATGCTGTTCGCGGTGCGCTCGTGTTACTGTGATTGCCACATATTTGCGCGATGTTCTCGTTGACTTAACCGTGTTGCGAAGACGATGTCGATGTCGCATTTTAATTCAAACTTGTGACAGAGCAAATATTTTCGCAGCACGTGAAATGTCGAAAACCACAAGCAAAGTTTTAATTTACTTTACGGTTGTGCGGGATAACGTTTAAGGCAAACACAGGACTCACGCTTCACAAAACAGCTGCTTTAATGACATCCTATCTGCCTGAATGAGGTAACCATCTTTTGGATATCGATACACCCATTTCGATTACTCCTCCATACTTCTCTTGAAGGAAAATAAACGATCTTGAATTTCACTTTGCACCTTCGACAAAGTTTAATACGGCCACTTAAAATATCCGGATACCAGTTGATGGCTTGATAATAATGGCTTTCCGGTGCTCAACTCAAAATCCATGAGAGATGACCGACGCATTTTCCGGATGCCAAGACAACGGTCTAATTTGTAATTCAAAGGATTTTTTATGGCTTGAAAAACAAATTAAGGTTGTTTGCGGTTTTGTTTACAACATTTTGTCAGTGCATTTCTGTCTTTACATCGCTTCATATAGCTGCAATAGCATCACTGCCGAGGCGAATCAAATCATTTTATTTGCTTGGCTGACTGAAATCAGATATCTCTTGTTTGAATCGCTATGACTTCATTCTCAATGCTATTCGAACGCTGTGCGCTTCTCACAATGCATTGACTTTTGAAACGAGAAATGAAGAGACAGAGGAATAAGTCATGAATTAAACTTCAAATAACAAGGACAACCAATATTTATCCAACGAATAATCGAGTTTTCAAGAAGATCCAGCCTAAGTATTTGTATTTTGAATTTCACGCAAAATTCATTGGAATTCAATGAAGTTGAATTTGATGAGTTCAACATGTAACTAAAGGCATTTACTTGAACTAACCAAAAATATGCTAACCTGGGCAGGTCCGGACCAAACACGGAACCATGTTTTATTAATTAGAAAATTATACACACAATGAACGTTAACGTTTAGTCAAATTAAATGGATGAGGAATTCGAAGGCATCCTTCGAAACATCAAAGTATCCAAAATTCCATGAAGCCCTTTCAAAACCGACCATCACCTTCTTTGTCCCCCCCGTTTGAACATTTGAATAGTAACCAACAATTAATATAAAATCACAGAAGCGTTTGAGCTGACGAAAATTAAAAATAAATTAATGAAGCATTTCAGCTGACACGAAAATAGAAAATATTGCAAAACGTGAATAAAACTTGATCAAGTTTTTTGACTTTCTAATAAGAAGTGCTGCCAATAATAACAACCAAATGAAATATTATTATTTAAAGCACCATTAAAAATGGAGAGGAGAAAAACAGAAACAGAGTTTATTTATTTATTATGATTATTATTAAAATGATTAGAGAAAAAAGGTGTTTATATTTAAATAAAATAAAAAAGGAGAAGAAGAAGTAAATGATGACATGAAAATTTGTAAATAAGTTCATTGTGATAACTCAGAACTAGACTCAGTTTTATACTTGTTAAGTATAAATTTTTCCAAAGTTTTGAAGCAGTGAAGAAGTGAAATGAATGATGATGGCAATTGTAAGAGAGAGAGAGAGGGAGAAACAGCGATACGATAGATACGTTATAGTAAAATGAAAACTTATACATCCAGAGAAGAGAACAAATTATAGCTCCCGTTATGTCGTAATGGATAAGAAAAATCAAATAGTGGAAATATAGCTTCGTAAGATGGAAAAACGCAGAAATGTAAAATTGCTTTCCAAGTTTTTTTTTCTTCTGCGTTGTTGTTGACCTAAGAAATATTATACTTGAATGGTATAGCTCTTTGTTGATTGACACGC